TTGGCTGTCCTTTACCCAACAGATGTTCTGTAACTGGAAACTGTGAGATTTCTTCAGGAGTAATTTCATCCAGTATATAATTTTTATGGTTTGAAAAACTGAACTTTGTATGTCATTAGTAGCTTCTTATATGAATTACATGATGTCACTTTCTTCCAGATATCTCCATTGGTTTTGGAGATACATTGTTTTGTATCATTTAACACTTCTTTGACATGATAATGGCCAGCATCATGCAACCTGTGGCATTCTCTCTTCAAAACCACTGAGTTAAAAGACAAAATACTTTGTCTGACAAAGAATAATTTAAAACATAAATTCAACTACCTCAGACTTCTGGCAAAATTTGATGATTTGACATGGAATAATCCAACTGCATTGTTTGTCAGAATGTTTGAAAACCTTCAACATTCAGCATGGCTTATTACTGAATGTCAGAATTATTTGTAACATTACTGTTAATTTATTTAACATATTCAGTCTTCCTTCAACCAAGAAAGTTGGTGTAGTTACTTGTTATATCATACATTTGTATTCAGGATGTACCCAGTTTGAATCCTTGCTAGGTGTTAGGTATGCTTACTGAGGTTTTCATGTCTTTCTTCAGTCCATCCAGGCAGATTCCAGGATTGTACCTTTAAACATAAAGTGACAACCTGTTGCTGACGCAAAAACTGTTTAACCTATGCAGGTGAAACCGCAATCTTTCTTAAAAGCACTCAGTCTATACAATTTCTTGGAGATGTGACTGTGGACATTATATGTTTGTTCTGTGAAACTCACCCTGCCAGTCAGGTCATTGTTACATATCAAGTGCATTGCAGGGGTTAGAACTTACAAGCCCACAAATATGTGACTGAGGGACTGTTACCTCATGAAACTTGCATCTGATTGGGAAGTGAGATGTTGATGATGTGCGTGGATGTCCCTGCTTGTTGCACAGTGATGGCTGTCTGTGTCAGTTTGAATCTTCATTGTATCCTGTTGCCTGAATAATACTGAAAATGTCTTGTGATAGTTTGTTTCCACATCTCCCCCCTCCTTCCCAAATTAACATTGAGTAATTGGTGTTGTTGACAGCCTATTTTCAAATAAATTGAGAGAATGTCAAACTTCACAACATTTGTGGCAAGGGGTCTAAACTTGTGGCCCATCAGTATGTTTTCTGTGGCCCCACATACATTTTTTGGAAAACTGTGTCACTTTACCCATCAAAAAGTCGTTAATCTGTTTTGTCATCAGTATCTGGCAATATCTGTCACTGTGAGCAGCTGTTCTTCTTAATGAAAATTGTCATATCAAATGCTAGGATGCAGCTTACTGATGAACATTTGGAGAGAGGCATTGCAAAATACAAAAATAGAAATTAAACCTGGTATTTGAAGGTTACTCAATCATAACATTGTTCTAGAGAATTGTTAAGTAATATGTAAATAAAACCTGTTGCAATAGTAGCCTTAATTTAGTGTCATTTTTAATAAATTATCATAAAGTTCCAATAAATTGTCTTTGTATATAATCCTGCAGCTTCTGAGTTGGTAAGAAATAGTAAATGTGGTCTCAAGTCTGAAAAGTTTAGAACCCGTGGTCTGTGGTGCACTTGTTTTAATTATAACAAACCTTGACTGCATGCCCCAGCAAAGGATTGTGTTGCGGGCCTGTGGCCTGTGTGTTATTACCTTGACCACTGTTTGTGTCTCATTATGAATCAGTAATATTATCTGCTTTCAGCAGGTTGTTAGGTCCCAGGTGTGTCCTGTCATGTCTAATGGAAGGATCACCTATTCCAGAGAGTTGCTCGCCCATCTTCACAACAGCTATGCGAGGTTTGGTTGTTACCACAACAAATTTTTCTGGTCAAGAAAAGGTAAGCATTTCACAATGTATAAAACATGGTGAGATTGAGGTTCTCACAATGACAAGTTTGAAGATGGCCGTCTGATATAGCACCTTGGCGGGAAGCTTGTGTCAAACGGTCAGTATATACCAGACTGCACAGTGCTATATCCCAGATTGCAGAGACTTTTGTATTAAATTTGCTTGTCTGATTTTGTTACTCACGATAACAGACTAAAAATATTGTGCTGAAGTAGAAAATGAAGCATTCATCAACATTTGCTTTTACAGCAAGTATCTGACTACTGATAAAATTATCTATATGATTATAATTTTCATAGATCATGTCTATTCTTGGCTATGAATATAAGTACGAAAGTATTATAAGTAACTAACTAGATTACTTACGGAACCCAAAGGTTCATTACTGAATTAACCAAAACACTCCACTGGACCCTGTCTTTGGTCAACAAATCCAGTATTCTTCAACTCCTATCTCCCATAGATCCCACCTGAGATTATCCTCCCATCTATGTCAAGGTCTCCCCAGTGGTCACTTGGCTTCCTGACTAATACCCAGGGCACTCCTCTTGCCCCACCCACGTGCCCTGCCCATCTCATTCCTCTTGAATTAATCACCCTGACAATACTGGGGGTGGAGTATAAACTTTTAAGTTCATGAAGATTTCTGTCTTCTGGGATGTTGCGCTATGTAGACTGGTGGATGTTAACCAACGTTTCAGAGGTCATACTGCCTCCGTCATCAGGGCGATGACAGAGGCAGTATGACCTCTGAAACGTGGTTAACATCGACCAGTCTACATAGCGCAACAACCCAGAAGACAGAAATCTTCATACTCACTGCTGTGAAAACCTCAAATCTTACATATTAAGTTCATCATTATGCAGTTTTCTTCATACCCCATTCTCTTCTCTCCTAGGCCCAAATATCCTCTTCAACACCCTATTCTCAGACACCTGCAATCTGTGTTCCTCCCTCAGAGTGAGAGACCAGGTTTTACACCCATACAAAACTATAGGCAAAATTAATCTTCAAGTTCTTAGAAATCAGACTGGAAGACAAAATATTTTGAACTAAGAAGTAGCAAGCATTTCCAGAATTTAGTCTTCTCCTAACTTCCTCATGAATATAATTTCGATTTGTTATTATTATTCTCAAATATTTGAACTTTGTCGCACTTTCAAAGTATTTATTAGCCACCCTAAGACAATATTGCCCACCTCTCTGCTGACGGGATACTAACATGTACTTAGTTTTTATTGTGAATTTACTTCTAGCCCCATCTTTCTACTAGCTTCTAGTAAAACCTCTGTGTTCCTCTTTATTGTATTTATATTGTCACCCAATAAAATAACATCATCATCATATGCCAATAGCTGATGTGTCCCATTCAATTGCAAACCCTCCTGCCCATCTTGGACTTTCCTGATGGTGTATTATATCTGTTATAAATTCTTAATGAGTTATCTGAATGAATGGTTAAGCCACTTCAGTTGTTATAATCTGTTTTAAATATTGATTTTAGTTTATTTTATACTTTTACGAGAACAAACACAATTGTTTAAGACTTCCGTTATTAATTATAGTGTATTTTATTCTAGAGTATATTGAATTGTGTAGCATAATCAGATGCTTTGTTGTGCAGGAGGACTTGGTAAACAAGATTAAATACATGGGTGCACTGTTTTCTTCCAAGTTGGTTGGTGGGACGACACATGTTGTGGCGAAGAATGTTCTCAGTGTCAAGTATGAGGTGAGCCTATCTGTGGTCTTATGTTGCAGATCGTCTTCAGTTAACAGTGAAATTCCAATGCCATATTTCTCACAAGGTTTGTGAATTTGATTTCTACAGCGAAGGGAACCTCATATGGAGTCAACTTTAGAAATAAGTTTCTTGGACAACAGAAATTGAATATTGCATTTCAAAAACCATAAATTAAAAACATTACATTGAATTCCAGTCTATAAAGAAACTTATGATATTGCTTTTTGATGGCTGACAACACGTTATTGGAGCATGTGCTACTGTATCACTTCAAACTTTGCTGTCTGTGAATTCCTCCTTAATTAAATGCATCTGTATCAGTGCCAGTGATTACCGTTATGAACAACTATTACTGTAACTGTTGTATGAACATTACAGTTCTCAAGGAGGTGGCTGGATATGATGAAAAGGAATGAAGGAAATATATGGGGAAAAATGGCCAGAATAATGTGAGATCAGAGAGTATAATTAAGGACTAGCTGGGGCAGAGTGATGTCCTGGAAAGGACAGTGTAATGACATAGTAGCTAGGTGAAGTTTAGTGTATTGGATGCTTCATACATCCTTTGAGAGTGTAGTTGTCCAGGTGAAGGCCGTGGCCTTTGCCTGATCCAGTCATGGAAGCCTCCTCATCCATGAATACTCATCTTCATTGGGGCTACAGTCTCACCAGAAATTATCCAGTTTTGTGGAGGTTGCATTGAAATTGTCTCTTTTCTGTGTTGATCTGATGTGGAATGCCCCATAAGAGTTTGATCATTTTAATTTATGTTGTAATAGTGGGATGAATAATTATTTTTGCACTTGTGAATATAATTAATTATATGCCACTTTGGTGACAAAATTGCTTTGACCTTTGTGAAAACAATCTTTTTATTAATTTTTGTTTAATTTCAGTGTAACAACATTTTATTATTACAAAAAATTATCATTTCACAAAAACTTGTTATTTAGTCGGCATATGAGACAAAGCACATAAAACAACTGTGGTTACTTGATTTATTTTTCCTGTTATCTGTATATTTAAAATTTGGTCAGTGCCTGATATCAGGATGCCAGGTTTAGTGACTGTCATATTGCCTTTTTTTTTACCATGTTTAAAATCTTATTGTATGAAGGATTGGTCACTTTATAGCCCACTGGTGTACTCACAGTACCTTCACTAATGAATTCTAAAATGTGATACTGATTTAAACTGTTTTCTGTATATTATCCATCGTCCAAGACTAAATAAAATCAATAAAAACCATGACGTTTCAGAGATGGGGATCACCTCTATTGATTGGGCACAACAGAGTAGGTTTATTGATTTTATTTATTTTTGGACGATGGATAATGTCCAGAAAACAGTTTATTTCAACAATGCACCATCATTACAAAGTTTCAGGATTGTGATACTGAATGCTTCAGAATTATCACAGACTTCAGTATCAGTAAAATACATCTATTATTCCATAAATACACTATTTATGCTTTTGATGGTGTTCTGGTTTGTAACAGTGTGTGAACTTGTAGGAAGATACCAGTGTTTGGAAGAACATATAACCTCCATCTTTAGGGCTGAAGATAACTGCATTTCACTGCTGTCAAAGTATTGAAGTCATGTGAAGAGGTAATCATTAGTGTGTGGATTGAGTCATGAAGATTTTGGAAATTGTGGATCATGGCACAGACACCTCTGTGCCTCAAGGTTGTTATGAGAAAAAATGCAGTGTATCACTTCTAACATAGTGTTAAGTGATATCTATGTGTTACAGAAAGCAGTAGAAAGAAATCTCCCCATCATGACTGGGCAGTGGGTGCATTCTGTTTGGGAGGCAAGTTGCAAGAGGAATATTCATGCTTGTGATCCTGAATTTCAAGCTTACAAGTGTCCAGTGTTTCATGGTCTCACTATCACTTGTTCAAACTTGCCGCGGCAACAGAAAGAAGAAATTAGGAAACTTATAAATGACAATGGTGAGGATAAGTGGAAAGCAGCTTACTGAGGTAGCTCAGGAAATAACATATTTGGTATCGGGTTTGTTTGTCCTCATAGGCACCTTCTTTTGAATCTGTATATCATTGATTTTCAATCATTGTGTAAAAAATTGTTAAAAATAAACCAGATTCCCTCCCTTTTATCCATCTGTGATTTATCAGTGCACAATCCAGGATTACTTATTTATATCATAATATAAGATGTAAACAAATTATCATCTTTATAACTTGATCTCAAATTAAGAACCTCGAAAGTGAAATATGTATAGTCATTAAGTTTTGCAGACAAGGGAACCTGGCCAATGAAAGCTCTCCGATTTGGATCCAGTTTCACAGTGTGGCCAAAATATTAGGTGTTGACACTGGACTGTTCCTTTCTAATACACAATTTTATTTTCTACAGTCTTTATTATTACTTTATAAGTCTTATAAAATGAGACAGACCTTTTGTTTCCATGATACTTCAGTTGGTGCTGAGTTTGCCTATGTACCAGCAACCAGAGTTTCATTACCATTTCTTTAATGACCATGTCTGTAATGGTTTCAGAAGCCATAAAATTTTATTAATTTGTAAGTTCTTGCATTTATTTATTTTTGAAATTCCTTCATTCACATTCGAGAATGAGGGGACCATAGTTGATTTCACAGCATGAAAGGTTGAAAATGCACCAGTGTCTTAAATCAGTGAAGCTTTACGCTTTGTCAGAATAGAGAACACACGAGACTAGGATGACATGCTTGAGGATTCTGTGTTATAAATGCAATGCAAACTCAGCACCACAGATGTCTAACAAATGCTTGCTTGCTGCACTCACATGCTGATATTAGTTAGGCAGCATATTATGCATTTCTTATCATATTTGTGTTAACAGGTGCTTATAGTTTATTATGTATGAGCGTGTGCATTCTTATACAATTTTCACATTAGCTTCTATGAGAACCAGGCAATTCTGAAGTTTTGCAATGTAATTTCTTTTTGGAAGGTTGAAATAGTGGTGTATATTTTGGTTGTAGTATTTTTATTGAACAAGTGGGCTCATTGTTTTCATTAAGGAGCTTCTCATCGTAAAGTGTTCGGTTACTCTGACCTTCCCAGGAATCAAGAATTAGCAGAAATTTATCTTCACATATGGCTTTATTACTGTCGCGAGACCAGTAAGTGACTCGTGATTACGTCTCTGAGCTCTAAGTCCTGCATCCCCTCATAGCGAGCTATAAGCAGCTGGCTATGTGTGTGTACAATGTGTCTACCACTTGCAATGCTCTGGCAAGTTTGGTCATGCTACATAAATATAATGGAACAGTGCCTAAGCTGGTGGGAAGAATTTGGGACATCATGTAATCCCCAGAGTGTACTATTACCACGGAGAAATTCAAGGAAGTTACTGGATTTATATGTGGTTATTTGTGTCAGCTTCAGAAATGAGGAAGTGAACAGTGTTAAGTGCAGAGCAGCAGTGCAGATTTGAGTCTTATAGCTGAGGGAGTTATGGTTCTAAGTTAGTGCTCAAATTATGTGAGTGGTAGATAACCAGACATTAAGGAGCGAATGTGAGAAGTGGAAGTCACAGTGGACAGTGTGTTATGTGTACTATGAGGACTGTCTTGAATTAAAGACAAAACTGACAAGACTAACTAACTAGATGGCTTACCGAACCCGAAGGTTCATCACCGAATTAACCAAAGCCCTCCACCGGACCCTATCCTGGGCCAACAAAATCCAGTTTCCTCCCATCTACGTCTAGGTCTCCCCAGCGGTCTCTTCCCTTCAGGTTTCCCAACCAGTACCCGATGCACACCTCTTGTCCCATCCATGCGCGCTACATGCCCAGCCCATCTCATTCTTCTCGACTTATTCACCCTGACAATACTGGGGGAGGAGTACAGATTTTTAAGCTCATAATTATGCAGTTTCCTCCACGCCCCATCGTCTTCCCTCTTAGGCCCAAATATCCTCCTCAACACCCTGTTCTCAAACACCTGCAATCTGTGTTCCTCCCTCTGAGTGAGAGACAATGTTTCGCATGCATACAAAACAACAGGCAAGATTATTGTTTTGTATACTTTAATTTTCAGGTTCTTAGAAATCAGACAAAATATTTTGAACTGAGAAGTAGCAAGCATTTCCAGAATTCAATCTCCTCCTAACTTCCTCATGAGTGTTATTTTGATTTGTTATTGTTGTTCCCAGATATTTGAACTTTATAACCCTTTCAAATGACTTATTAGCTGCCCTAAGATAATTTTGCCCGCCTGTCTGCTGATGACGAGATACTAACATGTACTTAGTTTTTTCTGAATTTACTTCTAGCCCCACCTGTCTACTAGCCCCTAGTAAAACTTCTGCATTCCTCTTTATTGTATTCATATCGTCCCCCAATAAATTAACATCATCAGCATATGCCAATAACTGATGTGTCCCATTCAATTGCAAACCCTCCTGCCTATCTTGGACTTTCCTGATAGCATATTCTAGTGCAAAGTTAAAGAGCAAGGGAGACAAAGCATCTCCTTGTTTTAGACCATTCTTGATGAAGAATGTTTCAGATACATATTTACCTACTCGAATTTTGCTGCAGGTTTCATTTAAGCACATTTTTATTAGACTCGCTAGCTTCTTTGGTATACCAAATTCAATAAGAATATTATAATTATGGATTCCTTCCATTGATGTGGCATCTCTTCCTTATCCCAAATTAACTGAATAAGCTTATGGATCCTCCTATGCAACCCTTTGCCACCTGCTTTAATTAATTCGGCCGGAATCTGATCAATTCCTGGAGATTTATAACTTTTCAACTTCCCAATGGCTAGTTCCACTTCATCTAAGCTAGGTTCTGGGACCAACAGTTCAGCTGTATGCATTTTAATCTGTCTAATATCACCAGTATTATGAACATTTAAGAGCTCGCTAAAGAAATTTTTCCACCTATTCACAATTTTTATTGGATCTGCAAGCAACTTGCCACTATCATCCTTTACCAAATTAGTCTGGGGTTGATATCCTTTCTTACAGTTATTAATGCCTCTGTACAGGTCTCTGATGTTTTTTTCTTTATTATTTGTATGAAGTTCAGCAATTTTGCCCTTCAGGTATTCCCTTTTCTTAGTCCTAAAGGTTCTACTAGCCTCACGTCTCACGTTACATAGATTATCCGCATTTGTTTTGTTTGGGTCCTGCAAGCATTGAAATTTTGTTTGCTTCCTTCGATCTATTAATTTTGAACATTCTTCATCAAACCACGGTTTATTTTGCTTTCTCCTGTAGTATCCTAGTTTCTCTTTTGCTGAAATTTTGATGCAGTTTCTGACATTTTCCCACTCCCTGTTGATGTCCACACTTTCATTATCTTCATTTGTCTCTAAAATTTGAAACCTATTCGAAATTTCAACTTGATATTTTTCCTTTGCCTCTCCCTCACTTAATTTTTTCAAATCAAATCTTTCTGTGTCAAAATTTTGTTTAGTTCGTCTACTTACTGAAAGCCTCTCCCTCACTTTTCCTACCACCAGATAATGATCAGTGTCACAGTCTGCTCCTCTGAAAGACCTCGCATCAATTACATTTGTCTGCCTCCTATTATCTACTAACATATGATCTATTTGATTGTGTGTGCTCTCATCTGGTGAAGTCCAAGTGTATTTATGAACATCACGGTGTGGAAATTTTGTACTTTTTACAATTAAAAAGGATAATCAACAGAGAACAATTAGTGTTTTCAAACACAGTAACAAGGACTGGTTACTAGTAATTATAATTATAATAGTGTACAATAAATCCACCTTGAATTGAACCTACATGGAATCCGTGAAATGCAGTACAAATATTGTTTGAATGTCTCTTTTCATGGCTTTGCTGATTTTATCTCAGTTACAAAAATTTGCGATAATGTTTTCATGTCTTCACAAATACAAGGCCCAAATGCAGATACATAAACACTGTAGGTATGTTACCTGATGCTGTGATAGCACACTGCACAGTTTAAGAATGCACAATTTTGTTTTTATTTCATATTAAAACTTTTGTTGTTTTCTTCTGTTTTATAATGTTTTATCTGCTGTTTCCACAGTGTATGCATCCTGTTTGGTTGTATTTATCATGTAGTCAAGATTATGAATTGGAATTATTGTGACTTTCCATTTTTGAAGAAAAGTTCATCAACTTTCAACTGTTCTTCAAAAGTTACATTGTCCTTTTGCTAATATATTTTGTCATTTCCCTCTGATTTTGTATTTCTTCTGAAATCTTGGGTCCATCCTGCAGATGTCCTGGTGTTGACGTGAATTGAAAAGAGGTTGCCAACCCTGTCCTCCCCTCCAACTTTTGAGAGATGTATCAATCCAGAATGTTCAAATTTCCAGTTGATGTGTGAATATTGAAAGTGTTTTGAAAATAGAATCTGCTGTAGCTTCTTCTGGTGATGATGTAATGACCTACACCTGTATCTTTTAATGACATCTTCCATCTCAGATTATACCATTGTCCTTAAAGTGCCATTGTCTTTAGGTGGTGTTTTCAGTGGACAGCTTGAGTGTGACAATACAAAACTGCTCGTCATTGCTAATCTGACTGGAGAAAAATACAAGTATGCACGTGAATGGAAGTTGCCATGTGTACTTCCATCTTGGGTTTGTGAAAGTGCTAAAGAAGGTTATGCAGTTTCTGTAGAACCTCATCTCACACCGCACAAAGAAGTTGTCAGATGTTCAACACCAAATCCTGATGAGACACGTGAGTAGTAATACTAATAATAGTAATCCTTTATGACAGTTACTGAATGTCAACCAGATGAGAATTATGCACAAACTGGATTTGATGTTAGATATCTGTGAAGTACAGTGCATGTTACATTTCTTGGTTGGAAATTTAATAAGGTTGCATTTATTCTAGAGGTTTGTGACTTGAACATGAAAATATATTAAGATTGAATTTCATTTTCTGTGTGTATGTAGTGAAACCCCTGTTTTGAAGGGACTACCTTAAAATAAGTGTGAAATGAAGGAATTATGCAGCCTAAGCAACATGTGGATTGCCTTATAACAAAATTTGCTTTAAGCCATTTAAATGGACACATTTGAACAGAATAACAATATAAATGTAAATGTGGTACACTTGTAGCTATTTCTTTAACTTGTCAATAAGAGTTATTTAATTTTTCTTGAATTATTAGTCTGTATAGTTTATTTCCATTTAGTATTGTCCTTGGTATCAAATTGCCCATGTAGGCCTACTCTATTGCAGCTGAGAATGTGATTTTATATTCTGCAACTTCCCCTTCTTATTTTAATTCTTCTGGCTTAGTCATCTGTTGGTTCAACATCCAGTCATCTGTTTGAACTTCACAAATCCTGAGAGCAGTATCACACTGGACATAACTTCTTTCAATTTATTTACAGTTTTTACAGTAGTGTTTAGTGTGGACATTGGAAGTGCCAACTATGAAGCCTTTTCGATGCGTGTTGGATATGTGCATCAGTGTGCACTGAAGAAATATTTATTTTATCTCTAAATTTTTGAAAGTGTTCAATTCTTTTATAATAAATAATCTTGTATTAGATTACAAGCTAGGTCCACTTTAGTATAATGTTTATATTTGCTTTCTTTCAGGTTTATTACCACACTACTCCATGGTAAGCGCAATTACAGAGAGTGATGCTACACATGTAAATGAGACTGCTGCAGATACTATAATAGACAGTTTTCTTACAAAGAAAGTTGATGTGATTAGAAACGCACAGACTCAGCCCTCAGGTTTGTTAATTACATTCTGGAAAGGGAGTGGCCTCTTCCCTTTCTTGATATAGAGATACAGTAAAGTTCACTCTAATGATTTAGTCAAAATGAAAGTAAATTTTTATTATGATGTTAATGCATGGTTAGAATAGTAATGGGACTCTTTTCATTTGTAAGAGCAGTGTTTGATTATCTTTGATATGATGAGTGCTTTCAGCTGCTTCTTGCTATCATGTAAATATATATGTCTGCCAATGTAGTGAAGTTGCTATTTTATCATTTAAAAAAAGTCTGATTGTTTTCTACGTCAAGTAAAATTGTGTCTGGCAATGATGCATAAGTGCTACTGCTGTTCTGAGTTAGTGGCATCACACTGGCAACCTAATATTAACTCTGATGATTACTATAAAATGTTAAGTATGTGGCTATTTGATAGTTGTTGACTGTACTCTTCATTTGATCATCTAAGAGTATCTACTATTCACCTGGTTCCTGATGTGACTGAACAATGCAAAAGAAAGTAAATTTGAATATTTGCACACTAGTAGGTTTTCTTGCCACGTAGGGACAATCACTCATTGCGCTGATGATTGAGGCATAAAGCTCCTCCAAAATGTTGGTAGACTTCTACCGGATTACACAATGCAGCATCCCAGAAGACAACCATCTTAAATCTTCTAGTGATTAGAGAGAGAGAGAGAGAGAGAGAGAGAGAGAAGGGAAATAAAAACATGATCGGTTAAGGGTGTTGACTCAAACTACATTTCTGTCCATTATTAAAACCTGAAAGGATCATTGATTCCACATGCATTTTGCTCCAGAAGTTTGAGCTTTCCTGAAGGAGAGAGGATTACCACAGAAAGTGTTGTTGCTAAACAATTTCCCTTCTGAAATAACTGAGTGTGCCTACTTCCACCAATGGCCTCATTGTTGTAAAGTCCCCCCCCCCCCCCCCATGTGACATTTATTATATTGAACATGGATGAAGGAGTGATGGTCTCTATGAAACATTGCTATTGGGCTGACCTCACAACTATTGCCAGTGAAGATAACAGCGTAATAACATTATGGAAGAAAATGACTGTGTTTGATGTCATATATGGCGTACCTTGGGCATGGCCTTTTTGAATCCAGTAACATTGATTTGATTGCAGAGGAAACTTCTTCTAGATCTAGAAGATGATTTACAAGGTTTTGCTAAGAAAGAAATTAGCACTCTAAAATTCTTGATTTGGTGTGTGTCTTCAGAAGCTTGGAAATGTTGATGAAGATAATGAAGAATGGCTACAAAGTGATGCATGTGAACTGTGCTTGCAGCATATGACACACATTGTTGATGCTGCCATGAAACAAAGGGAGAAGTAGAGGGTAGGGAGTGGGGAATGAGGGTAAATAATGAGAAAACAGTGAACATATCAGTCATAGCATGGCACTACATTGTGTTGACACTGTACTAGATAGACTACATGAGTCAGAGGGTTTGAATACAGTGACATTACAGCCACCAGGAAGATTTGTACTGCTGTGACGAGGAATAAATGTCATCTGTGTAAACAAAGAATTTAAAGTGATTTATGATGTTATATGAATGCACCAAACAAAATATTTTGAATTATCCATGTTCTTTGATTATTTGTGCATTTATCTGTCATTAGCTCATATAATTGGGAGATCAGTATATTGATTGACATATGAGAAACATCAATAGTAATAGCATGCTGTACACTTGCAGAACTGTTCTGTTCTTCTGTGTTCCTTGAAGGAGGACTGTTCTTTCTTAACAGTGAAATGGTTCAGAGTAGAACAATTAAAGTGACTATTCTTCTGCTATGCTGCGCTATAATTACTTGAGTGACATGAGTTTAAAATAAATCTTCAATGTAGTTTATATCTGGTAATTCTGTTGGTCCTTGGTACCTAATAAATTTCCAGAAAAAATGGTTGTCTAACCATGCATGGACGTGAAATGCAAAATCTGGCATTCCTCCATGTTGCATAAAGTGCAATTTTTCTTAGCTGTCCTACTGAGAAACAACAGGTAATACAAAATTGTAAAATGTATTCAAGTAATACATGCCATTTATTGCATCTTGAAGCAAGAGTGGACATACGTGTTGTGTAGCATGTATTGCTCAGCCACTACGTCACTTGGGGTTTTGAGCGCCTTCATTCATCTGCCATACCTGGGTCATGCAGTAGCATTTTTATTGCTTCATATGAGAAATGGCCTCACCAGTCTGCAGACCATCATCTAGCTGTAGTTTGTGAAAATTCTATGCAGCTTTCACCATTTTTAGGAAGAGCTGCTGAATTAAGTGGATTTGCATGTGATGATATTCACAGGGTGAAATGTCAGCCCACATTCTCTCTAGCTGCCTTGCGTATGGATTTTCCTTGACTTCTCTAGATCTTGGTTTGTGCATCATTCACATTCCCTCTCTGATTCTCACTCTGTGCACACACATTTATAACTTCAGTTTTTATTTTTATCTGCAGTGGTCATGAAATGGTAGTGTACAAGCTTTAAATTGGGGTAAGAATCATATTTATATAACATTGTTATCAATCTACAAGTGTTGTGTTGTTATGTAATAAAGTAAGATTTTATAGAGAGTGTGAGTGGATGTTGAATATTGTAATGATCGTAATGACTTTTATTGACTTGCCTTTTATAAAATGGGAGAAAATTGATTTAAATTCCGATGTGTAATGCCATCCAAGATAGTAAAAGTGTTGTGTGATCTGAAGCTTTCATGACAACTAATTGTAATAAATTCTTTTTGGGCTACCAGCCATGGTATGGTGGTAAGTTCCCATATAATTTAGCTTGGCAGTGACTATGTTAATTTTGGGTCCTGTTATCAAATTTGGTCTTAACTTTACATGAAACATGAAACTGAGTTTCAGTATATTTCTCTTTGATCATCACTGCCATCTGCAAGTAATAATCCCATTTTTGGCCCTTTCAACTTCCACCTCTTAACCAGTCATACCCTTGGCTTGCAATTCCACACAGTTCTGGCTGACATGTTATCAGATATTCTCAAAAGGTATTGCTTCAGCTTATTCCATTAAGCTAAGTTCTTTCATGAATGCGTTTAGAAGTTTTCCTCTGATTTCTTAACTTGATCTCCATCTGAAAGTATATAACACACAACCCATCTCATGAATCACATCTCACTTGTTTCTTTTCTTATGTGGTCTACTCTTCTTTGTTCCAGGATGACCATAACCTTGCATAGCTTTAACAGTGTTTTCTTGCGTACCTTTTTACCTAATGTATCCTTCATAGTATCACAAAAGAAGCATAACCTGTTCTGCTTTCATTTTGCCAACCTTTGAAGTACTAGTTTTCATAATATTATTCCAATTTAGACTGTGCAGTGCTCTTGTAAGATGACATAACAATCCTTTTTCTACTACTCTTTCTGCAAAAATTTCCTATTTACTTGGTCAAACACCATTTCATGATCAAGAAATGCAAACTGTATGGGCAAGTTGAACTAACTTTGATGATGGCTGTCTTCAGAGTTGTTACGCCATGTAGTCTGGTAGAAGTTTACCAACGTTTCAGATTTCCTTGCTGTCTCTGTCATCAGGATGCAGGCAGCAAGGACCTCTGAAACATTGGTAAACTTCTACCAGACTACATGGCGCAACAACTCAGAAGACAGCCATCTTTAAACTCACTACTGTGAAAACCTCAAATCGTACATGAACTCACTTTCTTCTTCCATAAGCTGGGATATTGCAAAAATACAATCTAAACAAGATCTACCCTTCTTAAATCAAAGCTGACCATTTGACAAGATTGTTTGTATGCTTTAAGTTTACTTTATAAATTACTTGTTCTAAACAGACAAATTATTTAATGAAAGTTTACTAACAGCTTGTTTATAGTAGCTGTCACAAAAACAGAGTTAAATACAGATCATAGTGACATCGCTTGGTTTGCTACAATCATATACTGATGAAGCATTTTAAAACATCAATTGTTGAACATACAGATATTAAAAAAATATTTTTGTATCTACCCTATATCATCTGCAACACTTGGTTTGGGAGGGATGCACCATTGTGTAAGTATTTAGACACCCCTGTGCTTAATTTTCTGGATAAGACCCCCCCCCCAAAAAAAAAAAAAAAAAAAAATTGTGATTGTCTCTTCAACAGAATCATTTTATATTTACATTTCTACTTTGGGAGAAGTTTTTGGATACTCTGGTTTCTAATTTTTAAAATAGAAAAAGTCAGTAATTTTCCCAGGGTTGTCTCTGTAAGAGGACTAAATTTTGTGTTAACTATTTTCTTTGCTGATTTTGGCAATTATTAGTATCTAAAATTTTATGCATTGGAAGGAATTTTTGCTGTGGTGGTAATATAGAACCACTGGTTTATGTCATGGGAAAGCACTCTTTTCCTCAGGTTCAATTTTTGGAACATCTGTACCAAGAGGCCATACCTGATTGCCACTAATGTACATTGCATGGCAGTATGTGAGGAAGGAAACTTTTTCATTCAAGAAGGAAATATGTTTTGTTTTTAAAACAGAATTGTATAATTTAAGTTGAAAGTTGGAAGTACAGTTTGAAGTCATATTTGAAGCAAATTCATGTTTTAAATTTTAATGTTAATGCACTTATTTTAATAATACTACTGGTGATTAGAGAATAATTTCGTAAGTCATATTGCACTGCATTAAGGTTTATATTTCTTTTCAGGTGCTTCAAATTATTCAGAAATATTAGAGAAACTTGATTTGACAGAAGCCAAAAAGGCAGGACCTTTTTTGGATGGTTGTAACGTAAGTATTCATATGAGTCTGTGCTTGAAACATTGAATTATATGTTAATTTTAAACCTGTCAAGATACTTGGAAGTCTTGTTAGATTCTACCATGAAAGCAGGAAGGCAGAATATTTTCAAACCATGAGTTTGGACCACAAGGTTATATTAAATTGGTAATGTATTGTTGCTTCCTTGCAGGTTTATTTGAGCGGATTCAATTTGGAACAATCTGAGAAATTACGTCGCGTGCTCAATGGCGGGGGAGCCACGAGATTTAATGAAATATCAGACTCTGTGACCCATATTATCATAGGAGATATTGTACCTGCTGATTTGGAACCTTTAAAATATACTGGCTTCAGGTGTGGTATATCATTATTTTTGTTTGTGAGCATTTCCATTCATCCCTCTGGGAAGAACCTACGTTATGAATTACACATTCCTGTCATAGGACGAGGTTGAAGTGTAAAATCAATTTGTGAGACTTCTTAAGTTGTGTGTCTCTATAGAATGTATTTGGGTAATATAGGTGTTCAAATTGTAGGGCCAAATTTAATTTGAAACAGTTCCCTATGACTGGAGGCATTTAAATTAATGAGTTGAGATTTTATGTTTGAATCATTCATAATTCATTGTAAGGATATGATTAACTTGATTGTTCTGTCATCAGGTGAAACTGTACAATCTGATCAGTTTGGTTCATTGGTTAAAGCTAATCTCATTTCCTGGACTCAACAGATTAGGTTGTGTATTTTTACCAGTTCTGTTTACATGACTGTAAGAGTTGCTTGAATATAAGATCTCTCCATTTTCCAGTTGCAGATATTGAGGAAAAATAACACTTATTCAGATAACATTTTAGGCCCATATTTCCTCCATAAATTTATTTTATTTTTCCATATCTTTTTTATGGATCCTTTTAATTTTACATAATGTTTTCTTGTGGAACTTACTTGTAGTAATTGACTAATACTAAAGTCTCATTGGTGTACTTCTTACCACTTGATTTAAAAGTGGCAAATGTACGAGGAATGAAGGAATTTTGATTTCATAGTCTTCCATGATCACCTCTTGTGAGTGAATAGTCATAGATATTACAAACTGCTAAAAGAAAGGACATACACAAATGTTTAATATTAGGTCTATTACATTATACCTTGAAGATTTCTGTCTTCTGGGTTGTTGCTCTGTGTAGTCTGGTCGATGTTTACCAACGTTTCAGGGCCGTCATCAGGGCGATTCATCACCCTGATGACGGAGACAGTATGACCTCTGAAACGTTGGTAAACATCGACTAGACTACACAGCGCAACAACCCAGAAGACAGAAATCTTCATACTCATCGCTGTGAAAACCTCAAATCTTACACATTATACCTTACTTTAAATTAGTTCTCAGCAACACATACAAATTCACAGACCATGCAACATATCTGCAGACTTCTGATAAGGGGATATTTCTGAAGCCAGATCTATTCCAGATCTCATTCTCTTCCCTCGAATGGAAGGAAAGTTGTGGAAATATGGAACTGTGCATACTGGATGTTTAGTCATTATGAAGCGTGTCTTGAAAGTAGGGGCAGTAAATAAATAATAAAAAAATGTAACATGCATACAAAATGTAAATGTTTGGTACCAGTAATGAAATGTAATGATCTCAGGTTTGGAAATGTGTTGATATGCTGTGGGTGTGACAGTTTCCAGTTATGTCAGAGTTTCAGATATCTTTTTTGCAGAAATTATTGAACTGGGCATTATTTATTATGTATTTTTCTTCATTTGTAATGTAAGACAACTCTCCATTTCTAAATCCAAATAAGACTTCAACATATGTATATGGGTATGTACATAATAACTGTACACATGACACTTAGCTAAAACAGATTTATAAATGAATAACATGATATCTATTTTTTTGCTATTCAGAAAGCATAGCGGTAATGTTTATTGCATCTAGAATACAGGAAAGATGATAAGTGCTCACAGAATTTTAGTCAGAAAATGTGAAGGGAATGGACTGGTTAGGCCCTTAGGCATGGGTGGGAGTTTTTTAATGTTAGAAGTGATCTAATAGAAATAGGACATAAAGTGATTGACTAGATTGGATAGGGTCTAGTGGCAGGCTTTTGTGAGGACAGTGTGAGTCCTTGGGTTCCATCCAAGAAACTTCAGTTTTCGCAAAGGAACCTGCACATTTATGCATTCAATATGTTCAAGGGAGGTAGTGCTCACAATTTTCCTAAGTAACCCAACTTAACTGAGTTGTTTGAAATTTTGTGCAAAATTTTTACTCTTAGTGAACTCTGGAGAGTAAGATTCTTGTCTCCTAATTAAATTTATTCTGCACAAGTTTATCACCATAGTTCATATAACTTACAATACATGAGAATGAATATGTGAAGTGTAAAATAATACTGCCATTTTCATTGTTGGAAAGATTTTTAAATGAAGGATTATACTGTTTTTGTGATAAGAACTTCTAATTTGGCTGCTTATTGTTTACAGACCATATATTCTGACAGTGAATTGGGTGACAGAGAGCATGCAGTTAAAATGTCCTGCTCCTGAAGAGGCATTTCTGTGCAGTGATGCATTGCTACAATCAGTGGAGCCTCCATCACCTTTAAGCAAGAAGGTAATGTACTTAAATTTAAATATTTGAACACCTGTTATGCATTTTCAACATTTATTAATAACATTATATTCCCTGTAAACATTTTTATTTGTTGCACTGCATTTATCAAAATATAAATAATGCGTTTTCCTATTTTAGCACATAAAAAATCAAGGGTGTATTAATTTGGGTTTTGGATAATTGTGCTCTTAAAATCAGTTCAGTACTATCACTAAAACAGAAATATGATGCATTTTGAGCCAATGTGCCCAGTAGGTACTGCTAAATTTATCAAATTCTTCCATGTTTGTCACTACTTAGCAAACTAACGACTTTGGGGGGCATTATAGAATATTATTTAATTAGATAAATATTTTGTTTCATATTTCTCTTGAACTTAGCAGCCATTTCTAAAAAGAATACTATGGCAAATTTTGATAAGACATGGTTTTTTTACATATCTCCTTACTTTCTTATAATAGTATTGTGAACAAAAAATAATTCTCTGTCTAAATGTTTTTTTAAATGTTTAGGTGTGACAGTTCCTATTTTAAGTACTTGCTGTAATCAAGGTTACTTAACTGCTTCCCTGATTATCTTCAGGTAACTGTAACCGATCTCCCTTTACTTTTATTTTGTTGGTTATTTGGTTGGGCGCCAGTGGACCTCTTGTCCACGAGAGATGGTTGTCCAGGGTAGCTCCAGCCAGCAGAACACGCAGTCTGTACACCCAGGTTGGTGTAACGGCCGGACTAACAATGATTCAGTGGACGCTTGATTGATGTCACTTTCTGGTGCATACGGCTTGTTTTAAATTTTGTGGGTTTATAATTTAGTAAAATTTCCAATATTAAAACTAAATTGTGGCGGAGCAGTTGCCACCGATTTGTTTGGTGTCCAAAGAACGAGTGCCTAGTGAAGTCTGCCCACACAAGAGACCCCTGGCTCCCAAAAACCCCGGGTACCTGCAGCACCTCGTTGTTAAGCCAAAAGGTTACACAAAGAGACATTCGTAGCTTAAACCGTAATACACCCAAACAAGTGAACAAAAGAGACCTTCATAAAACATTCCACAAATATGCAGTCGGTTCGACTACATAACTTGGGTTGATGTTTTTGCAAAAAAATATTTAAATGTTCCATTATTGCTAAACTGAGTTAATTTGGGTCATGAAGAAATTACATATACGGACTCAACAAATGTACTTTCATAAGCCTTATGCATTTATATATTTTTACTCTAGACTTGAAGAATTTTATGCTACTGCAGCACATGTCATAAGTGTCTGTACTAACTGCAGTGTCATTTTTGTGTGATGATTGTAAAGAAGTTAATTTTTGCAAAGAATGAAAAGGACCTGAGATAACTTGGGATAATAATCATTACATTTATGTAAACAACATTTTGTACAGAGCAATAAATATTGACTTGACTTTCGCTGCAGTTTGTTCAGTCTTGCATTTCTTTGGGTATTGAGAAGTGCAGTGCTTCCATTGCATGCTTGCAGCTTTTGTAGGGGATTATGAATAGTGGCACTTTCTTTTATTATCCACCACAATCTATGCTTATTATTGCTGCAAATGCTTCAGCAATAGTGCTGTATGCTGTTGCTTGTGACAGTCTTTGACTATTCGTGGGATGCATTTGGTACACACCTCAATATATATTAATGGTTTACTGCCAACTATTAAATTTCATTCTAAACCCATACTTCTTGTGGATGATACAAATACAGTAAAACCCCTCAAGTCGGACACCCTTCTATACTGTACACTTTTAATTGGAACTGACAAATATCCTATAATTTTACATGTCCACAATACCCTATATCTTGGACACCCTTTTATCCTGGAACTTGGACACCCCTTTTGTTGTATATTGGACAGGTACATGCACTTAGCTTCAATACTTTTCAGGGAAATGTTTACAGTTATTTTGTTGTTTCGAATTTCTGACTGAGGAATGCCTTCTATCTGGAGGATTAGCTTGTGGTTGAGGGTGGGAGACATTGAACCCATCATTGGAATGCAGTGAAAGTGTCTAGTTATTCTTTTGTTGAGCCCTTCACTGGACTATAGTATTGCAGATACAATTTTAACTCCATCAGTACTATGCTTCCATTTGAGTTCAAACTGTGATAAACAGAAATGGGAAAATTTATGGAATTAACTTTAGAAAATTTAATTGAGGTTGGAGTGTAATGTGCAATACATGGGAGTGGGTTTTAAAAGATTATTGTTGTTGTTGTTGTTATCAGTTCTTAATTCAAGTAAGCCTACAGTAGTTGGTTTATGTAAGTAAATAGATTACATTGTCATTACACCACAATCTGAAAGGATGATTTTTCCCTTTGTCTTGGACACCTCTGTAAGTTGGACATGTTTTTGTGGAACTGTAAGTGTCCAACTTAGAGAGGTTTTACTGTATTATTTTACATCCAGAAATTGACTGTTTCAAAATTTGCATGAATGATGTATTTGCTGTCTTCAACAGATAGATTAAAGCCAATAAAATCACATTACGTTTTGACAGAAAAGTTTGTGAAAGTTTGCACTGCTGGCAAAAATTGTGTTAATCTAGGCATAGGGTATGAGGATAAAAGAATTTAAGAAGAAGAAACAACTAAATTTCTTGGTCAACAAATTGACAATAAGATATGTCTTTGAGACATGTATTTCCATACACAGCATTCATTCTCATGTATTTCAGTTTATTGTCAGCCCTTGACACCAAGGAACGGAATCACGGGTCATTGGTCCTGTTTGGATGGATTCTGCACCTGCAATGCCAGCAATTAACTATGGCACGTTTTTCACATTTGCTGTGACTTGTTCATTCTGTTGCATAGATTGTAGTCAGTTACTGGTGTATAATGCACGTCACCATGTGTTTGATCACCTGCAGCAACCCAGCCATTTTCTTTAGCAGAGCTGTGATGGGTCTTATCTGGACAACTCATATGTTGCACATGAAAGCAGATATTTTATGGAAATTACATTATGGATGCTGTCACTTAATGTCTTTTTACTCTTGTATACTTTATACAAAGAAATCTGAAACTCATAGCAAGGTGATGAGTAATGTGACTGGCCCATCCACTTTGCTACAGGTAACTTTGCTTTATCAAAGTTAAAATATTATGATAAAAATATTTTCTTGTTTCTCAGGGACTACAGTTATTACGAAGACCAAATGAGAGACCAATCCCCTGCCTTGAGCTTGCTAGCAGCATGAAAACCACAAGCCAATCAACCGAAAAAACATTACCTGCTGTGCCTGTTGAATTGGTTGATCAGTACTTACACAACTTGAAGTCAGGTATATTTTGTATTTGTATTCCACAAAAATGAATGTTTGCATCTTCATGACATTTATAGTAAATGTTTTGAGTAGCCTGTTTGTATTGCAGTACATAGGAAAGCTTGTATTTACAAGCAAAAATAAACAAATGCAAATAACAACAGGTATGAAGGAAAGTATGAACTGGGGTGAAAATATCAAACTGTGTAGAATGGAATAGAATATCATTGTACAGTGGAATCCTTATTTTAGGTTCCGCTGTCTGAGGTTTTCCTGTTTTCTGCATTTTTTGTGATCTCAGCCATAGCTCCAAATACTGTCATACAGTGTGTCCCAAACTTTAAACATTTACATACCCTTTTTGTGATCTCAGTTGTATCAGTGTACCCCCTGACCCATTATATCACAAGCAATTGAACCACGTTATGATTGAGCTTTAGGTACAAACTAAAAAAGGGAGCTGTAAGGTAAGCTAAAAAATGTACAGAAACTTGTGAGCTTTATCAGTATCAACAAATTTCTTTATACAGTGAAACCTCGATGCATCGTTTTCAGCGGGGGTGGGAAATAAAAACGATGAATGCGGGAAAACGATAGATGCGGGAAAGCATTAAAAAATTTTAAAAAAAACAATGTTTCTCTTTCAAAGTTACTTCTTTTTACCAAAAAAGTCTTTAATGGACAACTGGTTTGTCGAAACTTTACGTTTTAGACCAAACAGAGCACTTTCCACGTTCAAAAGGTTTTCCTCGTCACGTTCACTAATATTAAGCGCATAAAAGAACAACTTCACTTTCGCCAATGCAGCGTGCGCTTCGGCAAAACTCGGCAAAGCTTCGGGCTCGCATTCGTCGTCTCCCTCTTCCTCACCACTCCAACCCCCTTTGCGGACAATAACAGGAAGAATGGAAATACTATTACTGCCGAACTCAACGAAACGTAGCTGTAGAAGACCCTGACGTAAAATTTCTGACAATGAGCACCGCCATTCACTCCAATATCACCCCTGCACCGCTGACCCTCATTCCAAAAGAATGTGCTGGTTGGGCGACATAACAGGTTACCGCTACTGTTTATTCCAAAAACATTGTGCGTCTTTCGGTATTAATTTATCTCAAAACCCAGCATTTTAATTTCTCAGAAACGATCATTGCGGGAAAATTGTGTGCTGGGACTAAGATTTTTTAAGGATCGATGCGATAAAACGATAGTTCGAGGAACGATAGAAGCGGGAAAATGTAACATTATTTTATATGGGATGTATTCGGGACCGAACAAAACGGACGATGCATCCGGGAAAACGATAGTTCCGGGAACGATGGATAGAGGTTTCACTGTATTAAAGATCATCTGACAGCAGATAGAACTCTGGAACAATTTTTAAAAATTTCTTTTGCCATGTACTCCTTGAAATCATTTCACATACCACCAGTGGTATGTGTACCACACTTTAGGGAACACTGCTGTAACACATTGTTTGCCTTTGTTTTGTGTTTCTTCATCTAAGGTTATCACTCCCATTTCAGGAATGAAATTCAGGTCCACAGATGGACTCTGGACCCTGGTTCAGTGTTCACATGAACATACCATGCACAGTTTGTCACACCAACAAGTTTTTAGCCACAAGTAACACACGAAGTCTTCCTCCCTTGCTACTCACTAAAGTCAGTCCCTCCCCTGCCACCACTGCATTGTAAAGCCACATGATCTGATGCATTCCTTCATGAGTTGACCAGAGTTAAAATGTTGTATTACTTCAAGAATGTATACACCTGCTGTGTATACATGAATTCTTTTTCTTTTTACAGTTGAACTTTACTTTATTTGTCCTAACATACTGTCATATCATTCAAATTACCAAAGAAGTCATTTTCTGTTTAATTTTGATCTAACTCCGATTTAAGATTTTTCTCAATATAAGGTACAAAATTTTTGTTCCCCAGGTGAACCTTGAATTGATGTTTCACCGTATCATCACCTCCTTTGTCTCGCCGACTAGCCCACATTGCATGCTGATCACCTACACCGTCTCACCCTCATGCTGGTTTGACCACATGTTTGTGATTATCACAGTGTTTCTTCTTGTACGAGGTGCGATCGGAAAGTTTCTCGACAAACAAGGATCAAACAAAAAAAAGAAGCACAACAAACCAGAAGAATTATAAATTCTAATAACACCAATCAATAATGGCAAGGAAGCAAATAAAGTATATAAAATCAAATAAATACCAGCCTGAAGACGCTCAGAGGGCGAACCGGATGTAGTACGAGCTTCTGCCGCTAGGGGGTGTGGCCTACATTCATAGTGAATCAGTGTGCCAGCCGGCATCATCGAATTAGCATTTGTTTCTTAGTTACGGGCGTTTTGGTAGTGCATT